GGAAAGAGGTTCAGGCCAGGAATAAGGTGCAAGTCATTGCTGTCTGCGATGGAGGTTCTGCTCCTCAGTTGTGTCAGGCCCAGATAGCCATGCTGAAGTCAAGTGTAGCCCGTGGGCATTGACTGCTGTCTTGTTTCCTGCAGGCTTCAGTCGGCCCTGGCCTGTCTCAGGACTACTGGGCAGCCATGCTTGCAGGCCCCGCTATAGCACGCAGACAACAGGCCCAGATGGGGTTGCCATCCTCCCTGGCAAGGGGCTTCAGCTGGAGCTTGAGGAGATGCTGGTCCCCAGGAAGATGTCCATCAGCCCCCTGGAGAGCTGGCTGACTGCCCGCTACCTCCTGCCCAGACTGGATGCTGGAGTCCCAGGGACCGTGGCTCCAGCCCAGTTCTACGAGTGTCCGCCTAGCCAGGTGGGGAAAGAGACTGAGCAGCGGGGCGAGGGGGTGCAGGATGCACCCCGGATGCAGTGCAAAAATGTACTGAAGATCCGCCGGCGGAAGATGAACCATCACAAGTACCGCAAGCTGGTCAAGAGGACCCGGTTCCTCCGGCGGAAGGTCCGGGAAGGGCGCCTGAAAAGGAAGCAGGTGTGTGTGGGCCCTGGGGCCAGGGTGGCTGAGAATGCATGGCCGTGCCACAAACCAGTCTGTGGCCCCCCTCTCCTCCTAGATCAAGTTCGAGAGAGACCTGAGGCGCATCTGGTTGAAGGCGGGCCTGAAGGAGGCCCCTACGGGCTGGCAGACCCCCAAGATCTACCTGAAGGCCAAATGAGCAGAGTGCCCCCGCCCTGTGCTGCTGAGCCACTGTAATAAATGGCCCTGCCAGCCTGGACCCTCTGCTTGGTGTGAGCCACCTTAGTATCGAGGCCACTGCCAGCCTCTGGTGAGAGAGAAGCCACAGAGGCCCCAGAGTGGCAGATTGGCAGTCCCTTCCCCAGCTGGCTCCGTTAGTGAATGTATGCTGTGGGTATAGCCGTGAGCAGAGGCCCAGCCCTGCCCTCAGGGCACTTAGATTCGGGGGGCGGGTAGAGAGGGCAGCCTCATAACGAGCATGCCGATGGCAGAAGTGCCATGGGACAACATAAGAGGGTCAGGGAGTTTCCAGGCTGAGGTGGGGAGTATGAGTAGGTCACGAGGTCTTGAGTGGGGGGTCAGTGAGGGCCTCACTGGGGACACAGGGTGAGGGGCAGGAAAGGACCGTGTTCCCCCAAAGATGGTGGTCAGTGTCCTGCAGGCTCTAAGGACCTGGGTCCTGAGTGACTCTGACCCATCTTACTCATCTGGGCCTCGGGACCCCTGGCCTGCCGTGGGCCCCTTGGCCTCTGCCGCTTCCTGGGGACTAAGTAGGGGTGGCCTGGAAGGTGTGCTCCAGCAGGTCAGAGTTAGAGCTGCTGGAGGAAGGAGTGCCGTTTAAGGAGTGGGAGCCAGCAGCCCCCAGCTGTTCCAGGGTCCCTCTAGGTGAAGAGGAAGGCGTCATGTCTCTCAGTGGGTGTGGAGGGGCCGGGCTTGGGGGGCAAGGTGGGGCCTTGACCCGGTGAGGCTCTGTGACAGCTCCTGCCTGGTTGCCGGCCTTAGAGGACCCTGTGTCCTTCCTGAGCAGCTGGTGGAGGCACTCGTGTTACTGGTGCCCCCTCATCCCCACCCCAGTGAGGGCCACGCCACTTCCCACAGGGTCGCAGAAGTGTGTGTGGGGCGTGTGTTTGAGTTCCCTGGAGCAAGGCAGTTCTTGGGGTGGGGTGGGGCGGGGCGGGCTTGAGCGCGGATTTCCCAGCAGGTTCTCTGGAATGGAGTAAAACACGTGTTTTGAGAACTCCTGTTGCTTCAGGGAGCCATGAGGGCCCCTGCCCTGCGTTTGCCAGCCAGGGACATGGGCTCACGGGGCGCCTGTATGCGGTAGACTTTGAGGAGGATGAAGGAGACCTGATGCCATTGAGGGTGCAGGTCTGCTGCCACTGGCGGCCCCTAGGGGGCAGTGGTTAGGCCTCTGGCCGCCCTGGGGTCTGGCCTGAGGACCAGGACAGCGGAAAGCGGGAGCACCCTGCCAGCCTGGTCGCCTGAGTGAGCCCAGGGCGCCCCTAGGAGGCCTCAGCCTGGGGTCACAGACATCCTCCCGGGTCTTGGTTTCCCCAGCTGTGGTGGGCCAGGTCCTAGGGCTGGGGCCTCAGTGACGGAGCCTCCTTGGTGGAGCGGGCTGTGCCCTCTTGGTGCCAAGTCTGCCCTCAGTGCAGCGGGGCCTCCCCACAGGGGCCGTGCCTGCTGGCTGCGCCCTTGGCCGGCGCCCATGGCTGCCGAGCAGCTGTACTCAGCGTTCCCTTCCAGCCCCATCGCTGCCCTGTGGCTCACCCCACCCTTTGCCGCTGGCAGGAGGAGAAAGGGGGGGCTAGGTTGTCAGCTGACTTGGGGGCCGAGCCGTGAGTTCCAGGGGTGCAGCTGGCCAGCCTGCAGGGAGCCGCAGACCCAGACACCTGCAGGCTGGCAGCTGGTAGAGTGCCACAAGGCCTACCTGCTCCGGGCCAGTTGGTTCCGATCTGGGCACCTGGCCACATTTGGAGACTGAACGGCTGACAGCAGTGGGCGGGGCCGGGGATGCTGCTAAATGGCCTGCTGTGCGTAGGGCAGCCCTGCCCCCCGTCTCCCTCACCCCACCCCGAGCCCAGAGGAATCCACCCCAAACATCTGGTACCCGGGCCAGACGCTGTCCAGGTGGCAGTGGCCCCGCCAGGTCAGCGCCCGAGCCAGCCCAGCCCCTCCTTCCCTACATGGCGTGGACCTGGCAGCCTTTCTCCCTGCTCCTGCCCGCTGCCCTGTGTGCAGAGCTCATCCAGCCTGTGGCTTGGATGCCTTTGGGCCCCAACCACGACCTCAGGAGGCAATTCGCGGGTTTTATTTTTATCTCTGCAGCCCCTCCCAGGGCGGGAGAACCTGCCCTTCGCCTCCTCCCTGTGGAGCCTCCACCTTGACCCCCAGGCTGGGGGATGGGCAGTCCTTTCTCCTTGTCTCCCCTGTTCTTGCCCTGGTCACCCCCCAGCAAGAGTGCAGAGGTGGGGGGGGCAGCGCGGGGCCTGTGATCTGTTCGCCCTAGCCCCCTAGCAGTGCCTAGGGCTTGGGTTCTGGCCGGGGCCAGAGCTGGTGGGCATGGTCTGGGGCACCTGTTTCTTGGGTCTAGTGCGGGGGCATTTCAGTGAGCTCAGCCTCACGCCCCACACCTGGTCTGCTCCATGCCTGGGACACCAACACTGGCCTGGGTGTTCTTGCCCACAAGAGGGGCCGCGGTAGGAGACTGCTGCGGCTGGACTTGGTCCTGGTGAGGGCTGGCTGGGCCTTACCCGCCTCAGGTGCCCAGGGCAGACAGCATGCACCTGCGAGCCCGCCCTGCCAGCAGCTGAGCCCCTTCCCACTGGGTTCCGGCTGGCGAGAGAGACTGTCGCCGTGGAGCAGAGGCTGGAGAAAGAAACCCATTCCCTTGGCCCAGCCCTGGGCCTCCCAGCTTGCCCGGAAGGACGCTGGGACCTGGGCGCAGAGGCCAGAGGGAACGTTCCTCCAGGGCCTCTAGTTACGTTCAGATTTCAGAAAAACAAGTAATTTTTCAGTACAAATATTTTCCCTGCAGTATTTAATCTGGCAGCGCTAACGCCAGGTCCGTGGCAGGAAGCGTACAGAGCGAAGAGAGGGGTCTGGCCGCTGTCCACGAGGCAGGAGCCAACTTGAGAGGCTTTCGCTGGCCGAAGGTGGTACAGCGTGAGCGTCAAAAGGGTAGTGACCACACGGAGTTGAAACAGCTCACTGAGACTCTAGCTGCTGAGGGTCTGGTGGGATCTGATGCAGGACGGGGCAGATTTCCCCGGACCAGGAGGAGACCAGGCGCCGCGCGCAGAGGAGAGAGTCCTCGGTGGAGAGCGGGGCAGGAACTCAGCACGCGGAGTCGGCGTCGAGGACAGTTTGTGAGGAAAGGGGCGGCACTGCGAGTGTCAGAGGAGCTCAGTTCGCATCTCACCCTTTAGTTCCCATTTCCTTTGACTGGACGGACGGTGAGGAAGGTGAAGGGAAGAGACTGTAGCTGGCAGCTTCCGCCCTTGATCCCAGGTCCCCCATGGTTTTAGTCAGAGAGAGCGAACGACTTTATTCTGTGTGAGGCGCCACGTAGAGACTGTTGGGGCCTGTTTCCCCTGACAGGTGTGCGGAACGGGCTGTCAGCGACCCCCGCAGGAATCTCCCTTTGTTCCCAGGCGCCCTGGCCGGGCTGCAGGGAGACAGGCAGCAGCCTCTGACTGTGGCTCGATTAACATGTTAATTCTCTTGCCTTCTCCCTACATTACTTTCGTGGGTCAAGTAAGTTATTTTCCAAAAACATCACTGTAAATACATGTTAAACTATGTTAGATTAAATAGCTATATTTTTTATAAAGGACTCGCTCTTGTAAACTCAAATAGTGCTCTGAATTATTTGCATTTCATCGTGCCACCAACCTCTCTTATGGTGTATGGCCTGTAAAGATGTCACCTCCCCCTTCCCTGTACCCATCCTCATGGCAGTGTGGCTTTGCTGCCCCTCTATAGAAAGCTGGGGTCTGTCTCCCCTTCCCCGGATCAGCTGGGACCTGCCGGGACCAAGAAGGCGATGTGGTGGAATCTGCCAGGTTTAGGCCTTAGGGGCTGGCAGCTCCCCCTGTGGGAGGAGGGAACCGGCCTAGACTGCTGAGTGACAAGGGCGGTGGAGAGGAAAGGCCAGGGGACTTACAGCGCCCTGTGGACTGCGGCCCCCGCTGCCCAGTGCAACGCTGTCTGGACCCTCCAGCCCCAGCCGAGCCGTGGCAGCCATTAGCCTGCAGCATGCGGACCAAGTGTTCGTTTGAGTTGGCCAGGATTTTGACTCGCTGAAGAGGAGACCCTGACCCACGAGCCATAGAGGTCGTGGAGACAGCACTGCCCCCCCACCCCCACCTCGGTGCCCGGCTGTGCATGAGGGGCTGGGGCGCTGCCAGCCTCTTCTTTATGTGCGTAGGTTACTGGGAATTCTGCGTGGAGAGAGCCGTTTTCTTATTCGTGTCAGTGTGGGCTCAGGGGTACTGCTTTGTTTCATGCTCCTGCCACTTTGTTCTGCTGCTCCACGTGCTCCGCTGCGGCCCGGCCCCTGCAGCGCCCGGCATTCATGTCAGCACCTCCTTCCCTGCTGGCACCACAGGCTCTCGGGGCTCACCCCGTATCCCGCCCCCGGGTCCTAGATGAGCCATTTCTCCAGGGAGCCTGGGAGCCGAGGGCTGGGTGCTGGCCGTGCTCACTTCTAGGCCTTCGGCGACAGCTAGGGACGTGCACGTGCGGGTATCCGTCACTGTCGCTGCCAGAATCCAGCCATAGCCACGGAGGTGAACAGAGTGCATGCCGCCGTCCCCACACGGAAGCGAGGCCCCACCACCCGACGTCGGCTCAGCGCTTCCCGGGGCGCATGCGCGTCGGTGTTATGACCAGGAGCTGCGGCCCGTGGGAAGCGGCCCCAGCAGCTCGTGCCCGGCCAGACCAGTTCCTCTTGCCCTCAGCCTCGTACTCAGCTTCCCGCATTTCCCAGGCCCTCGTGGGGGTTCTGCCGGTCAGCCCGCGAGAGTTGTTGAGTCACATCCAGGTTCACTCTGTGCTGTGCTGGGGGGCCAAACTGTCGCATGTCTAACGTCAGTGCTGGGCAGAGAAGACATCTGCGGGCCAGCTGTCCATGCTTCCCCCACAGCGCGGTTTGAAGCACGAAAGTTCACGGTGGTTCGTCAGTGCAGCCGAGGCTACAAGAACTAGCTACACAATTTCTAAAGACACTGAAATTCGCAGGTTACAGGAAGAGTGGGTCACTACATGAAAACGTTTGCTCTTCGTCCAAATTACGTCTAATTCGGATGGTAAGGTTGACGTGATGTGTGTTGTGTCACGTACACAGGAGGATATAGGTAACTAAAGCTGACGGTTTAAATTTGTCATCTAACCAGCACATCTGCACGTGTAAGCACATCCACAGGCGCGTGAATGTCAGACTGAGGAAGGGCACGTGTGACAGACAGGGAAGACAGTGACCTTGGCATGCAAAGCGAACGCTCAACGCAGTGTCCTAGACGGGGGTTGCACTTCCCCACACAGGTGCAGCTTCTGAGGCCCCCCTTGTGGCCCCGGCCGAACCCCCTGGACTGACATCTGCTTTACCAGGTCGCCAGCGTTTTTTTTGTTTGTTTAAAAATATTTTTTTCATAAAATACAAGAGCTCACCTCCACCGGCTCCCTGTCTCCAGGCAGCTGCGTGTGCCGCCGCTGCTGACCTGGGGCCTGTGACATCACTCCAGGTGGCCCTGGTTTCTAAGGACCAGTGCCCCCAGTGGCCACCTGCTGTTGTGTCAGTTTGCAGTGTGTCGGCCTGATGAGAACTGGCCGGCACAATCATCGTTTCCTGTGGGTGGTCAACAGTGACCGACACCAGTTCCCCTCACAAGTCCTGTGTCCTCCCCCAAGTTCAGGCCTCAAATCCAGACTCCTTTGTCTTAAACCTCACCTGCCTTTGGGGCCGCAGGCCGTGACAGGTGACCACGTGTCTCATGCCACAGTCGCCACCCCGTCACAGGTGCGAGCTCCCCGTTCGTGAAGAAGGTCAGATGTGAAGGCGGCGGGGCCTTCCCGCGCTGTGCGTGTCCCGGGTGGGGCCGTCGTCACGCGAGGGCTTCGTGTCTGATGTTGGGCAGCAGACACCGCGTTCCTGCATGAGGCCGGCTCAGGGACCACGGCACAGGCGTCTGCTTCTGTGTGTGCGCTGGCTCGGGGCCACCGAAGGCGCCGCAGCGTGGACTGGAGCCCGACAGCCTTTGCTGTCCCGCCTGCTCAGGGGCCGTGTCGCTCGCAGAGACACCGTGCGCCACGCTCTCGGAGCAGGCGTTTTGCCGGAGACAGGACTCGGCCCGGCGGTTGGCGGCTGCCGTGTCCAGCTAGGTTGGCGGTGACGCTCCCGCGTCCCCATGCTGCCTGCTCCAAGCTGCAGATCGGAAGCGGGTGCCCCCGGGAAAAGGGCCGGAGTGCTTCTGCAGGGCTCTGCTCCGCGTGCCGACCCTGCAGGACGCAGCCTTGCTGCGCACCCCAGCAGACGCTGGGCCCGCTGGCCAGCCAAGACCCGCAAGCAGGCAGAGGAAACTGCAGATCCGAGACCTGGCCACCGGCTCAGGACCGCCCTGAGCCCGACCCCCACAGGCCTGCAGGGCCGTGCAGGCGTCTGCCAACGCCCCTGGGTCCAGAGGCGAGTCTGTGACACCCTCACGTCGAACCTCAGGGACACCTAAACCTGTGGGAGGTAACAAGGGACTCCGGATTCGCCCAGGAAACCATGCGGGGTGGCGGTATCTGAGGACAGCGGCCGCTTCGGGGCCCCTGCCATGGCCCTCTCGTCTGTGTGGTCCGCAGCAGGACAGAACCCATGGCGAGTTCGATGGGGGCCCAGCACCCCCACCCCAGGGAGCACTGCAACCACAGTCATCGAGGCCGGCCTGCGGTTGTGGGACAAGCACCAGGTGGGCCCAGGGGTGTGGGTGTCCCTGTCAAGAGGGCTGCAGGGAGGTGACTGGGGCCTGGCCAAGGCTTCAAGATGGCCAGGCTTCAAGATGGCTGACCCATCAGCCACAGCCAGACGCAGGAGAGCCCCTTCCTCCTGTCCCCCACCTAACTGGGACAGCTGGACCTCCTGTCATTCCCCCCACAGCATTCCTACACCTGCAGTGAGGGACCGTGCCAGTTTGTCCCCTCTCTGTCAGGGGGCAGTTGGGTAAACCAAATCTGTAACCATAACCACGTTAGAAGTCACACTTAAAGGTGAATCTCCCAGGTTGGGTACAGGGAGCTGTTGCCTAGGAACCAGGACGCATGTCACATGTGGAAGCGGCACTCGGTCCTCCCAGGGGGCTGGTTGGGTGGCTGCTGGCACCTGTGGGCCCCCGCCTTCCCGGAAGGAAGACCGCCCCTTCCCCACTCCCAGCACAGCTGGCGCTGCAGGCGAATAGTGATGTCAGCAGGCTGATGGCCTTGACTCGCAGCTGACCGGTTGGCAGGGACAGCAGGCAGGACGGGACAGGTTAAGGTGCAGAGGCCAACCCTGGAGCCCGAGGCCACGGTTCTTGTGTGTGCGTGCGAGCCGGCTGGCCTTGCCCCACTCCACATGAAACAAGCCAGAGGTGATGTGGGTGACATTTGGTCTCAGGATGACAGGGCGGGCGGGGCCGTGACGTAGTGTTCACATATTTCCAGATCTTCTTGTTCGTGTTTTCTAATCACAGTGTGCACGAAGGTCTCCCCGCCATTGGGACGGGTGGTTCTCCATCCGGAGACGCAGCGACGGGGTAGAGTGGCAGGACTCTGGGAGCAGGGCCGACGTACACACAAGTGACCGCTGCCTAGGAGGCTGGTCCAAGCCAGCAGGGGGACGGTGTGAGGGCGAGGTCCAGCGCTTGTGGTCTGTGCCACCCCGCCCTCCGGTGCACCGGCACATCTCAGGAGGCCCCAGGGTCCTGCGCGGCTCTGTGGGCATCCTGCAGCACGCTCTGCTGCCCGCAGCCGACCTGAGCCGAGACAGGTCACTTCTCCTTGTGAAACTTGCGGCTTCCGCCTCTTTCAGTCCTGCCCTGGCTCTGTTTCAGGGGGTGGTGGTGTTGGTCTGACGGCCGAGTCACAGAGCTCCGCGAACCTAGCAGCATAGAGTGGGCACTCGCTCCCTCACGGCTCCCGTGGGCCAGGCGTCTGGGGCGTCCGCTCAGGGTCATACTGGGAGAACCGGTGTCTGCCGGCCACGTCCTCACCCACACCTCGGGTCGTGGTCCCGCCCACCCAGGCGGTTGGCTCGACCCATGACCCATCCTGTTCCTCGCAGGTGTGGGACTGAGGTCCCCGTTCTTATTGGCTGTTGGCTGGGGCCGCCCTCAGGGTCTTGCCGTGCTGTCCCCTCCACAGGCCCTTGCACAGCCTTGCCTGCAGGACGAGCTGACTATGCCGAGGACTCTGAATCCAGAGTGACATCCAACACGTTTCTCACGTGGGTGCGCAGCGGTGCCACCGCGGGCACCCACGCGCAGGGGAACACAGGAGCCTGGGTGCCCACCACCCAGCCCTCGGGGCTGTTTCTTGACAGCCCTGCCCTGACCACCTCGCGTGTCCATGGCAGCAGCCGCGCCCCTCCTGCGCTGCGGCCCCCGCCTGGCCCCAGGCCCCCTCGCTGGGCGGCCTGGAAGCTGGACCGCGCCAGTGCCGCCTCCCCTGGGGAAGCGGCTTCCCACCCCTGCCTGGCCTGGTCATTTGTGGGGTCTCTCCTTCAGAGGCCTGGGCTCAGCCCAGAGGAGGGGGCCCCACCCTATTTTATGCTGACAGCACTTGTCACAGCGCACAAAGCATCTTATGGTCAGCCAGCCTCCCTCCAGAAGCTCCAGTGTAGTGGGGCGGGAGCCTGGCATCCAGCTCAGCACTGACTCCCCCTGGCACACAGTAGGTGTTCAGCAGCAGCAGGCATAAGCATGTGTGTGTGAGCACATGTGTGAGCACGCGTGTGAGTGCATGTGGCATGTGTGTGAGTGAGTGTGAGCATGAGCGTGTGTGTGTGAGCGTGAGTGAGTCTGGCTGTGCCTGCGGTTTTTCCTTGCAGTGAGTCGGCTGCCTGGAATGTCCGACTCCACAGGCACAGGAGCCACTGTCTGGTCCCCCACTGGCCAGCAGGCTGACCCCCCTGTTCAGCCATGCGTCCTGGGAGAGGGGAAGTGGGTCCAGGGCTCCTGTGTGGCTGGGGCCTCAGCCAGAGCTCAGGGTGGGGCCACAGTGATGTCAGTGGCTTTGCTTTGTCCCGGTCTGTTCTCTTCCCAGACGGAGGTGCCGGGCAAGGCCAGGAACCAAGCAGCCCGCAGGCACTTGAGAGGGAGCGGGACACTCGCCCTGGCTGTGGGACGGGCAGGTGGTCTGGTCGGCAGGGCCTGCTGCTTGCGGAGCCTCCGCTCTCATCTGCGGCCATTTGCTGCCAAGGCCGGGGGCGGGGCAGCCGCCCTCTGCTCGTCTGGGCTCCAGGGTCTCAAGCGGAGAACAGGGTGGGGCAGGGCAGAGGGCTGCAGCCACCACTCTTGTCCGTCTGGCCAGTGGTGCAGCGGGTCAGGCTCAGTGGCGCCCCCTTGGGCTGCTTTCTGCATGTGGGTGAGGTGAGGGCCTGAGCCGGACCGCAGGTAGTTTGGAGGGTGGACAGGGTGCTCCCAGGCTCCTTGCTCGGGGCCAGGAGCTGACCTTGACCCCTTCCAGACCGCGGGCCGGCCCTGGGTCGCCCCTGCCTCCCTCTGGCTTGGATTTCTCCCCTCCCTGGAGGAGAGATGGCGGCAGACAAAGGCGGGAACAGAGGACAGATGGAGAGACAGACATGGGCGGGGTGTGGGGGGGGCGGGGAGGGCGGCCACCAGCGCTAATAGGAACCAGTCAGAAAAACGGGGGTGGGAGGGGGGAGGCGCTCAAGGCTGCCAGGAGCCTTGTTTTTCCAGAATGAAAGGCCCAGGGAGGATCTGGGGGTGTGAGTTCTGACTCCACTTTGGAAAACCGACCCCACCCCTCATGGCCGGGATCCTACTGAGGAAAGGTCCGTAGGTCTGGATCAGGGGCCGCCCTTCCTTGCCCTCGGCCCGCACTGCGCGGTGCTGGCCTCTGCCTCAGGCCGGGGCTGGTCTGGGCTCCTTGCCTGAGGACTTGGGGACCAGGGTGGGGTTCAGGGGTGAGACCCCCCCCAGCCCTTCAGGGACTAGGGCTTGTGACCATAATGCAATCCAACCAGGCAGTCTAAAAAATGCACGGTGGTTTTTTGTGTTTCTTTTGTGGTTGTTTAGATTTTTCTGAGGTTTGCTTAACTAGAAGGAGTGGGTTTGGTACATAGTATCTGCTATGTTATTTCACATTTGTTTATGTGACTTTGTAACTTTTCCCAGAGTTTCAAATTTGCGCCTTTGAGGGGGAGCTCATAAACTCCTCCTTCCGTGCAGACTGGGTGGCGGGGGTGCTCCCGGAGCACTGTCACCCGGTCTGGGTGGGTGGGGGTGCTCCCAAGAGCAGTGTAACTGCAGGTTTGGTTTGAGGGACACCAGGTTTTGTTCTTGATGGGGGGGGCAGATATTGGGGGGCAGGCCAGAAAGGTGGGGGCTGCTCGCCCACTGGCCTCCTCAGTGCTCAGGGTCCCCGCCCCTCGCCTCCCTGGCTCTGTGGAATGTGAAGGTGCCTGCTGTCCCCAGGACCACCCTGGGCCCCAAGGCTGGTGCTGCTCTGCTGCCCGTTTGCAGATTAAGTGGTGCAGCCCCCAAGGAGGGGGCACGGCACGTCGTCATTCTGACAGGAAGAGCACATGGTCTGGCCGCCTGGGCTTTTGGGGGTCCCTGCCTCAGGATGGCTTCCTGCTGGCCTCCAGCTTCACAGTAGCTTTGCGACCAGGCTGCTCACGTGGGGGGATACCCTGGGACAGTGTCCCCCTACAGAGGTGGGTGAAGGGCTGCTCACTCCAGAAGCCCAGCCCTGCAGCAGCCCCAGAAGGGGCCGTATGTCACAGATGCCCACATGGCATCGGGGACCATGCCCTCAGGCCCTCCTGCCCTCAGAGGGCTGGGCTACTGTCCCCATTCCAGGACCGGAGCCACAGAGGGAGCAGGTCTTGCTCAGACTCCCTTTGCTGTCTGAGACACAGGGCCACAGCCCTCCCCCTCCCCACCAGCCAGCTAGGGGCGGGGGAGGGGCCGGGCAGGGACCAAGGGGCGGTGAGGGGCGGTCTGCACACTGTCGACCAGCCCCGGGCTCCGTGATGTCACTGCCAGTGCTAAGGAGCGGGAGGGGGCCGGGCTGTTTTTCCGGACAGTTGGAGCTGGAGTGAGACAAAGCCAGGCCGGCAGGCGCCATGGAGCTGCAGCCCCGCGTTCTGCTCTGGGAGCTGGTGCTCCTGCAGAGTGAGTTTGGGGGTGGGGGCTGGGGGGCGCGGACCCCGAGTGGGTCTGAGTGAGTTTGGGTTTTAGGCAAACCCGCCCATCTGAGCTAAGCCCAGAGGGGTGGGACACCCCCACTGGGAAGGGGACGGGACTGGGGCCTCAGAGGGGACAGCTCCCCATGATAAGGGCCCCAGGACCCGCGAGGGTATGATGTCCATAGCGTCCTCCGGGCCTTCCCCTCACACAGAGGCCAGAGGCCAAGAAGGGCAGGGAGGCTGAGGCAACGCACTGGGTCCCCCGAGCACCCCGCTGCTCAGGGAAGCCCCCAGACCTGCGTTTCTCCCAGCTGTCAGGAGGGGAGGGGGTTGGGGATAGTAGGGGCCTGGGAGCTGCGGGGACCGCAGGGTCTGCTCCCAGGCCCCCTGAGCCCGCCCCCAGGCTGCCTTGCTGACCAGCACATTCCTCAGCCCGGGCTCGCAGCCACATCTCCGGAGCAGGAACTTGGCTTGTGGGGTGGCGGATGGCGGGTCACTCCCCACGTCCAGCCTTCCTGAGCTTCAGCCCCTGGCCCTTCGGGAAGGCTGGTGGGGTTCCAGCCCCGAGCACTGAGGGTGGGGTGGGGCTCCCAGCCAGCCTGGGACCCTCGGGGCTCATGTGGCATGGCCCTCTGCAGGTGCATGGTCCATGCGGGACAAACGCGTGCTGGCATCCCCACAACCAGCCTCCCTGAGCACGAGGCTCCTGTGGCCTTGCTGCACTGAGGGTGATGGTGGCCACCCTTCTTGAAGTTGGCCTGTGGTGACAAGCACGCACTCCAGAGCTGGCCTGAGGGGTCTAACCCTGGCTCCACCTCTCACCTCCCAAGGCGCATGCCCTGTTCTGCAGCCCAGCAGGGGGCGTGAGGATGCCGTGGGGCCAGAGGGGACCCACCTGTGCTCCCTTGCTTCTCTGGCTTTATCTGCACCCCTTAAGTGGATGTCGTTAGCACCCACCTCAGGGAGGACTACAGAAAGGACTAGGGTCCGAGCGCCCTCCCCCTGTGTGGGTGACCCAAATGCCCCATCCCCATGTGACGCCCTCTACTTCCCCTTCCAGGCTCTGCTGTCCTTCTGTCCTCAGGTTAGTGACCGCCTTCCCCTGATGGCCCCCTTCCCATCTGGCCAGCCCCACCCTGTACCTGATCCCTTGGGTCCCGCCCGGCCCCTAGTGACCCCCCTCCCCATCAGGGCCATCTGGGTCCTCGACGGCAGGCAGCTCCGTGGTGTCGGAGTCCGAAGTGACCTGGGCGGCTGGTGCCCGGGCTGTGCTACGCTGCCAGAGCCCTCGCATGGTGTGGACCCAAGACCGGCTGCACGACCGCCAGCGCGTGGTCCACTGGGACATCAGCGGCCGCCGCAGCGGCGGCCCCGCGCGCCGGCTCGTGGACATGTACTCGGCCGGCGAGCAACGAGTGTATGAGCCGCGCGACCGCGGCCGCCTCCTGCTGCCGCCCTCTGCCTTCCACGAGGGCAACTTCTCCCTGCTCATCCGCGGTATGGGACCTTGAACTTCGGGGCGGGCGCCGGGGTAGGGGAGGGGGGCTGGGAGGGTCGCGGGCTGGCCCGGAGCTCATGGCTGGTTTCCTTGCCTGCGCGTAGCGGTGGAGGAAACAGACGCGGGGCTGTACACCTGTAATCTGCACCACCATTACTGCCCCCTCTACGAGAGCCTGGCCATCCGCCTCGAGGTCACTGACAACCGTGAGTGCGCCCCCTTCCCCCCTCACCCCCGCCGCCCGTCCTCACACCCCTACC